TAATCCAGTGAGTTAATGGCAGAGCTGGGGAGTGGCTTGAATCAGGGGTACCTCACCCTGAAATTTTGACTTCTCTGCTCTGATCCCAAGACATCTATGAACTGCACCCAAATATCTGGAGTCTATGGCCAGTCCTTACATGCTAAATAATGCCAGCAAACACCAAGATGGATACTTGATTAAACATATACTGTACTGCTATACAGGAAAAATATCTGCAAAAACAGTCATACACAGCATGTGCATATGCATGAAAAGAGACAGTTATTGGTATTGAGACATATTCATGGCAGAGGAGTCAACTGAGTGACATATACAGCCAAGAGAGGAAGTAGTCTGTGTGAAGTAGACAACCGGCACGCAGACACAGCTGCTGATCAACACGTATAGTCAGAGGGAAAAGAACAAGCTATGTGTACAGAGAGGAGAGTGAGAGTGCCTCTGGGACAGGCACACACAGCAATGGAGAATCAACCCCTGCTACACACACTCCCGTAGAGTGATCAATAAGGAGAGACAGCCATTGATGGACCTGACATAGCAGCCAAGAGCATCATGACACACATGCACAGTTCAAAAAAAGAGAAGCAGCTACTGAGACACACGGAGCTCCTTCAAGGACACTCCTGCTTCAAAAGACACTCACAATCTCACATGTGAACATCCAGACCCCCTCCCATGTGTGAGAAGCCTGCACAGGCACACAAGGAAAGGAAGGGGGGAAGCACAATGTGGCCAGCCAATGTGGAGCCCTAAGCGTGCGCATTCACAGACAAAGATACATTCAGAGGTCATAGTCACCGTCAGGCTGGGCCCATACCAGTGATCCATCTGAACCTAGTCGCCAGAAACGGGGAAGGAAAATCACGCTTCAGTCCCCACGGCTGCAGAGCCCCCCACGTGGCCCCATTTCCAATCCTAGGAGAAAGGGGGCAGAAAGATCTTTGTTGACCAACAGCCATCATGGATTGGTCCAGCAACTGCACAAAAGATGGCTAGCCCAGCAGGCAGTTTTCTCCCAAAAGAATGTACCAAAACACCCACCCACTAAAGAAACCAGGTTGAAGGAGGGATGAAAACTAAAGGCACTCACATGGTCTTTAGCAAAAGCCTGCATATCCTTAGGAATTCCCTCTATTCCACTCTTCAAACACACTTTCCAGAGGAAAACATAGTGATGATTATGCTCTGGCTTGCACTCACTTTTTATGTGCATTCTGGGCATCAGACTACCGTGTTGCCCCAAAAATAAGACAGGGTCTTATACAGTATTTCTTTTTGCGCCAAAAATTTATTAGGACTTATTTTCAGGGGATGTTTTAATTTTTTCATGTACATCAATCTACATTTATTCAAATACAGTCATGTCATCTTCTTCTGGTTGCTGCACAATGGTGGAAGGTGGGATTTCACTTAACTGGGGCTTATTTTGGGGATAGGGCTTATATTACGAGCATCTTGAAAAATCATATTAGGGCTTATTTTCAGGTTAGGTCTTATTTTCAGGGAAGCAGGCTGAATCTCATGTTCCTTGGCTCATCCTTCAACAATCTCTAAAAACGTCAAGTTTGAACCTTCTGCCTATTTCTGTGACAATGAGTTCCACAGGTCATTAGCGGAATGCTAGTCAAGGGTGGGGAAAACCCTTTAGGGGAAAGCTGAATGAAACACATGCACCAGCCAATAGAGGGCAGCATTTCTTCATTTGCTTATATCCAGTAGTGCCTGGCAATGCTCCCTACTCTCTGGAGGAAAGTGTCCTCTAGCCACTAGCACCACACATATTACCATTCTCTCAGAAACTCCTTGCTTTCATTCTACCCTTGCTTCTGACTTTTCTCTTTAATTTTCTTTACTCGGCCTGCAAGTGAGAGGCATAGCAGGCTCATTGTCCGTATTCTCTGGCTGTGCTGTCTGCCCTCATGTATAGGCATGAGTGCTTCAAGGTGGAGCATATACTCTGCATAAAGAAGCTTCACTCCTTTGGCATTGCTGGTTATGAGTCAAGCAAGGGGGTAATGATATAAATGGCTTCTGCCAGGAACCTTAGGGAAGAGATGGACCGGTGCTCTGATCTGATGGAAGGCTGCTTCCTGGGTTCCCCAGCTCTCATCTCTCCCCTCTAATTATTTTTGACAAACATGCACAGAAATGTGTTGCACTACTATTTCTGCTACACAAGAGATGGTGAAAAGCTTTTTCTACAGGTTTGGGGCATTACACTTGATATAGGAAAAAGCTGTGTTCTAGTCCACTGAGGCAAGGAGAGTACAAGGTTTGCATTACTGAGGGCAACAGGCAAAAAATCCACAACCCCCACATGTGACCCCACCATTTCCAGGTGCAGGCCATCTCCATGTCTTCTGAAAATACCAGTGAGGGGGGCGTCAGAAAAGGCAAGAGGGGCAGACCCTTCTGCCTGCCCTCACCCCTAGAGTTTACGCTCTATGAGGACCGATGAGCAATCACCTAGTGAAAGAAAGAAAGGCCTGAGAACATGGGAGCTTGGGGGCCACTTAATAATATCTAAACATTGGGCCCATTCTCCGTTCAGTCCAGAGCAAAGCCACCCCCTTGGGAAACCAGGTGGACATGACCCATGAAAAGAACCCATGGGACCAATCCTCTGGAAGTGGGGCCCACCATGAGGGGTTTGCTCCCCGAGGCACACGGAGCCATTCAGGGTGTAATAGTGAGGGGCAGAGGAGGAAAGGGGGGCTCTCAACCTGGCCTGTTGAGGCAGCATTAGAAGTCTAGAAAGACTAAGCTGGATTGGGGGGGAAGGAAACCAGATTTGGGGTTGGGGGGAATTAGCCATCAAGGGCCCCTGTATTCTCTCCCTCCCTTGCTCAAGTTCTTGGCTCCCTCCCTCCCTCCGTCCCTCGGGATGTGTATGTATGGAGAGAGGGAACACACACAGAGAGAGATTTCAAACATAAGATTCTATTGTCCTCTCCTTCCCTGCCTCTACTTTTGTTTTTTAAATGAGTGATATATGAATTGCACTCTGCCTCAACATCTTCACCCTTCGGCACCACTGAAAAATACCCCCACAATTCCCTTCCTAGCTGTCAAACCCCAAACCAAAGCCCCAGCCACAGGAAGGAGAATTCCCCGTCTGTCTACCTACCTACCTGCCTGCCCGCCTGCCTTCTCATGACCGGGAAGCCCTCCTCTGCCCCTTGCCCCCTCCTGCCCTCAGCCCCCCCCCATTCTTTGACAGGGGACTGGCTGGGGAGGGGGGGCGACCGCGGCAGGGGTTTAAAACCACCACTGCCATCTTCGGATCCCTCCGCCCGCTTTTCTGCCGGTTGGGGGGGGGGGGAAGAGAGAGAAGAGAGGTGTGGTCCCTCCGTGAGCGCTGACCAAACCGCGGTGGCGGTGAAGCCGCTTCCCCGGGGGGCTCCCGCTCCCTCAGGCTCACCTCCAGCAGCTTTTGTTCCGGCCGCCAAGGCTGGCTTCCTTTCGCCTTCGTGAAGCCCACCCGAGCGGTGCCCGGGAACCCCAACGCCGCCTCACGCCCCCAACGCCGGGTTCAAAGAGAGAGGGTGGGGTGAGTGGGGGGGACACTGCATGGCGGCCCGCCCTGCCGTCTCTGAGGCCCAGGCGGCGGGTGGGTGGGTGCCTCGGCGGTGGGCACAACCTTGCAACCTTCGCTCTTGGGCTGCAAGACACCCCCCCCAGCCTCACCCCCGGATTTTCCCGCCTCCCTCCCCGTTGTGGGAGCCGGCTGCCAGAGGGGAGGGGGCTCAGTTACCGTGTGGTTATTGCTGTCTTCCCCCACGGCCGGCGCCTTGCCCCGCGCTAACCACTGGGACCCACGACCGTCCTGAATACTCCAGTGGCTCTCCTAGCGGGAGGCTTCCTCCGGTTCCCAGCCCCACGGTCTTCCCAGAAGACCCCGGAGTCCTTGGCGCGCTCTCCCATCTACCTACCCCACCCCACACTCCTCCCCCTTGATGCACATCTTTGGTGCTATCCATGCCTTACTAACCACTAGGCGCGCGAGTCCTCGTCTCTTCCCGAGAAACCCAGGCGCCTTCGCTCTCAGCCGGTTCGGCCCACTAGACTTGACTCCCCAGAGGGGCCCCCTGTTGCCCTTCCAGGCCCGTCCACGTTCCCACGGCAAGGTGGAGCCGATTCACCACGACCCTCCCCCCGCTTCAAGGCAGGCCATCCCGTCCCACAAGGGGGGGAAAACATTTATCTGGGGAGAAGGGCCTTCCCTTCCTGACTCTACCCGGGGGTGGCGGGCAGATGATGCCCTTCAAGGGGCTTTTTTTCCCCCCTTCTTCAAAAAATACAGTCTGGCTTATTTCCTCTGAAAAGCCAGGCGCTGCAACCAAGTCTATACGTTTCTTGCGGTTTTTTTTTTTTGGTTTTTTTTTTTTTTTTTTTTGCAGTTACATAGGTTAGAATTGAGGGGACACACACCAAAAAAAAATCACCTTTTTTTGCATCCCGTGCTCTTGCAGTCTGGATGATCAATGCCACAAACAAATCACGCCGGAGCGTGTACACACGCACACGCGAGAGAAGGGGGGGCGTTGCCGATCGTTTCCCCTACAAACCCAGGGACGGAAAGCGGTGCTTTCAGAGATCTGAACTCATCTCTCGTGTGTTCTCATGAAAAAGAGAGAACAAAATTGTAAATATATTCCGGGGGGCGGGGTGCCTTTCTGTCCAACTAGGGTTAGTGGAGGTATTATTAGTCCAAGGAGTGTTTCAGGATCATCAATATAACTTGCGGGGCTGCGGGGTTTCCCTTCACTTTCTTTTAAGGTCCCCCACATCACTTTTCCTTTAAAAAAATTAGGAAAAGCAAAGGTACTGACTGACGGGGGGGGGGAGCCAGAAAAGTAGCCCCTCCTGGCCAAGCAAGACGCCAAATCCCTATGCCGGGGACCCTCCATAAACAACACACAGATGTTTGTCTCGGAACGCGGGTGAGCGAGGACGATAAATACATACATAAATGATAAATAATAAGGAGGTCTTACCTTTTCATGACAACTCCCGAGGAAAGAATAAACCAGAAAACAAGAGGAGCAAAAATTTCTCCGTGTCTGGAGAAAGAGAGAGAATGATTGTTTTTCCTCTTTGATCTTTTCCACCCTTAAATATAATTTTATTTATTCCTACATTCCGTGCCCCCCCTCCCTTAATCTCCTTTTCTCCTGCAGGGAATCAAACAAGCGCTAAATCCAAGCAGCCAGGGGAGCGGCAGCGGCAGCATTTTCTCTCTTTCCCGCCCCCTTCTTTCTTTCTCCCTTTCCCTCTCCCCCTCCCTAACTTCCCTCCCCTTCCAAAATTTCTTCCCGATCTTT